CCCAGCCCTGACATCCCCTGTTCCAAGGGCCCTCCCAGCCCTGACATTCCCTGATTCTGTGAAAAGGGAGAAAGATGAGGAGAAAACAGCTGACGTCTCGTGCCCTTTCTTAGCCCCCTAGATCAGTAGCCCCTAGCCACTTCCCTTGCAGAAGGGGCTGGCCTCCAAGACCGCAGCATTGCTTCCCAACCTGGCCCTCTGGGTCCCTGGCCTGCCCTCCCCCACAAAGACACGCCTGGAGGCGGCCGCTGGCCAGCACTGGGAGAAAGCCAGGTTTATTGTCTGTGGTGGGCAGCAGAAAGCTGCCTCTAGGCACTGATGCTTCATTCAGCAGGGCCCATGCCCATCCCTGGCCCCAGGACCCTCACTGGCTTTCCTGGCTAAGGGGGCGTTAATTATCTTGTGCTGGAAAATAAAGACAGGAGAGAAATGATATCAGAGGCTACCCTGAAAAGCGAGGCTTTCAGCTCTCACCCTGAGACAGGGGTGGGGAGTGGGAGCTGAGGGTCAGGGAAGCCAGGGAGATTGTCCAAGGAGACGGAGGCAGGAGAGCAGAAAATGGCCTGCTTTGGTACAATAAGAATAACAGTAATAATAGTATTTCTTATAAAGGCCGCAGGAATTCCATCAGACCAGGATCAGCCCCACAGAGCCAAGATCTGCACCCCAGGCCTGGCCACCAGTGGGTGCTCACATGTTTGTATCCCCTGGAAGAGGCCGGGGTCAGGGACCATGACCCAGAAGGAAGCCAGACACCAGACAGCCATGGGGAATAGAAGTTAGAGCAGGTGGGAGGCAAGGAAAGGTGGAAGAAATAGGAAGGAGGTAAAAACCCAAGCTGTCCCATTATGAGGGCATGAACCGAGAGCTGGGAGGGACTTTGGAGGCCTCCTCATTTTACAGAGAAGGGAACTGAGGTATAGAAAAGTGATGTGATTTGCCTAAGGTCGTGTAGGTGGTCAACATCAGGGGTGGGATTTGAACCCAGAGCCTCTGCTCTCGCCACGATAGCATCTTTGTGTCAGCTTTTTCCCAACCCCTTCCCACACCCCGAGGGTCACGCTGGGGGAAGCCTCTTGGAGGGATCGGGTCACCCTCAGCTCGGGGAGGAGGGAATGCCTTCTCATTAACCCAAGGGTCCTGGTTGGTAGCCTGTAGATGCAGAATGGCGGGCGTTGAGCCTCCCGCAGTGTTCAGACAAGGCAGGGAGGAAGACGAGGGTGGGGGAGAGCTGGGAAGGTGGGGGGCAGGCAGGATGGAGCAGCCTCTCACCTGAGCAGGTGTGCTTGTCTTTGTGGAGTTTGAAGCCTGCTCGGCAGGAGCAGTAGAAGCCGCCCAGATAATTGTGGCAGTAGTGGTCACAGATGGGGTCTGCTCCAGGTGGCACCTGGCACTCATCAATGTCTGCAGGAGAGAGAGACAGGTGGTGATGCATCACACTTCCAGCCCCCTGGGGCCAGGGAGAGAGTTAGGCCAGGCCTGCTGTAGCAGAGAAGGAAGGAGGGGCATGGGTTCCTGAGTGGGAAAGAATTCTTATCAATCAAGTCGTCCATGGATTCAACTGATTGCCCAGTGTGTTCTTAGATCCTGCTGGGAACTTTAGCTGGTAATTTCCTCTCTTGGTCTTAGTTTCCTCACCTGTGAAATGGGTATGGGAGTTGGAGTAGACATTCTCTAAGGTCCCTTTCATCTCTGTCTCAGATATTACGTTTGACCCTAGCTCTTTGGGAAATAGGCAAAGAGGGGAGCCGGTTGGCATATACTCAGTTTCTCAGATGGGGAAACTGAGGCACAGGATGTGTGTGGGCGGATCAGGTTAGATCCTTCACTGAGGGGAGCTCCCCCCCTTCACTTAAGTTGACAGCCCTGGCCCACCGACCCACTCACCCTCAGCGGCATAGAAAGCCTCAAAGCCAGTGAAATCTTTCTCATTGGAATAGTCAGAGCGGAAGACGACGCGGAGGTTGCTGCCCACTGAGTGGAAGGTGTGGTTGCCAGGCGCCCGCTCGGTGTCCGTGCTCTCCTGCCCACACAGCGTGGCCAGCAGCTTGTCCCCAGAGTAGAGCTGCCTCCCGGGCAGGACAAAGAGAGAGGAGGAATTATCAGTCCCCCGCCCTTCCTCCATGGGTGCCCCTTATGACATCCTCCCTCCCCGTCTGGCTCTACCAGTCCTTATGCCAACAGAGCTGTGAGCAGCCCCTGGGTCTTAACAGTCTCCCTGAGGTGGGGTAGGCAGTGTGGGGCAGTGAATACAGCCCTGGGCCTGGAGTCAGGAAGACCTGGGTTCAAATTCTGCTTCAGACACTTACTAGCTGTATGACTCTGAACTAGTCCCTTCACCTGTCTGTGCCTCAGTTTCCTCATTTGTATAATGAGGAGATTACAAATAAAAATGGGGAGGGTCCATATAAATCATAGTAGGTAGGCAAATGTGTCTACTCTGTTTAGAGAGGAGCTGGGTGGTCTGGTGAATGTCACCCACATTCCAGCTTCCACCTACTTCTAGAACTGAAGGTCCCACCCTTTACCCTGGGCCCTGACTGGTCAACGAGCATCTATTAAGTGGTTAAGACTACAGAAGCTGCAGTGGCTGCCAGTCTTCCCTCCTCTCCCAAGGCTTCCTGGTCCTAAGGGGCTGCCCATTCTCCCCATGTCAGACCTTAGAGGCCATGGAGCCCAACCTCCTCATTGGACAGATAAGGAAACTGAGGCACAGGAAGGTAGAATGGTTAAGAGACTTGCTCAGGGTCACACAGCTAGAGCCTGAGACATTATCCAGCAGCAGTCCAACAAGGACTTGGCTTCTTTCCAAATTCCTTTTGCCCCCTGGCCTTGGATTACCCTCCCTACACACCCAACGGCTCTGGCTCCGAGATACCTTCACAAAGTCGTATTCGCAGAGATAGGACAGCTCCAGATTGAAGTGGGTGAAGTAGAGACTGATTCGGTAGCCAGGGGGGGCTATCAGGTTCCAGCTCTGCTCCTCATTGTTGGGGTACACTTCGGGAAAGCCGGGGGATGTGAGGCGTCCAAATACGGCCTTTGGCCATGGGCTGCTGCCCACTTGCTGCATCACCATTGCCAGTAAGAGACTCAGCCTGCTGGGAGTTGCCAGGGCATGAGGAGGGCAGTGGGGACATAGAGGCTGAGGGGTAAGGAGACAAGGGGCGAGAGTTTGGGGGACCGGGATCCAAGGTTGGGGGATTCAGACGGAGGACAAGGGGAAGAGGCCAGGGAGCCAGGAGGACGAGATCAAGGGTCTGGATTTAAATTATTTGGATTAGAGACCGGGACAGGAGTGGTGGGTCAGGGGGATAGAGGGTTAAAGGTTGGGGGCTTGGGAATGAGGGTTAAGGGCACAAGATTGGGATCTGGAGATGGCTTAATCAGCCATAGTTTAAATCTTGACAAATGTGGGCTACTGATGAAAAGCCTGTTATGGTGTCTGAGATACAGAAACTATGAATCACAGGCACAGGGGTGAGGACCAGGGCTCAGGAATCAGGGCTTAGGGGACAGAAAGTTCAGTTTGGACATAAAGGAAGGCTGAATGAAGGATTTCGGTCAGGGGACCTGGTTCTGATGCTGGGCTCAAAAAGGCAAGGGCTGAGGCCCAGGGCCAAGGCCCCAGTAGAACGATCCCCTCCTCTTCCCCTCTCCAGGATGGTGGAAATTTCATGGTATTCCTAGATGGGGTAGTATCAGCCCCTTGCCCCACTCACCTCAGGAAGTCCATGTTCCCGTCTCCTAGCTGGATCTCACTCAGTGGCCTGCAAGGCCCCATTCACCTTTGATCTGTTTATCTAGGTCTACCCCCACCCCCTTCACTGATCCAGTATTTCTGGGAATCCAGCCTGAACGGGCAGTAAGCGAAACTCTCTGGGTCAGTTTCTGGGTCCCAAGTAGAGCCGTCCTCCACTGCCTCCCACCACCTCCTGGGAGCTCAGGCAGGGGAGGGGCCAGGGAGGAGAGTATGCTCTCTCCCCTAGTGTGGGACAAAGCAATGGAGTGTGGTGGGGGTGGGAGTCAGGCCTTTTGAGAGGCAGCCAGACTGCCCAAAGGGCCTCCAGAGAGCAGAGGGAGACCAGCCCTAGCCCCTGGGCCCCTGCTGAGAGCCTGCTTGTGCCCTGCTGACGCCAAAGGCACCTGACTCTCTGGCCATCCGCCTCCAGGTCATATCCACTAACCATAGTGGTCCCCAAAGGGATTTCCCTTCTCCCTCCGTATTATTTCCCTTGGTGACTTCCTCAGTTCCCTGGGTTCAATTATCCTCTCCATGTAGATGATTCCCAGGTCTGTCAATCTATCTTTAATCTCCCCATATCACGACTCTTGGAATCAGAAGGCCTGGGTTCAAATGCTACCTGCTCTCTGTGGGTGTTAGTTATGGAAGTAAATTAATAGTCTTCTCCCCAACTGACGCTTCTATTGTGCTTCAGAGATTACATAATGTTCTGCACACATGATCTTATTGGGGTCTCCTCACAACGACCCTACGTGATCGATACTACAGTTATGATTGTCCTTACAGATGAGGGGCTTAAAGAGCAGAGACGTTTAGTGACTTGCCCAGGGTCACACAGATGATGTGTCAGGGGTGAGCTATGAACTCAGATCTATTTCCTTTTTTCATACATACATAATTTTTAATGACATCTTTTATTTTTATACCCCTCCTTTATGTCAAAATAAATCCCTTCCCCATCTCCTCCCCAGAGAGACATGCCTAGTAATTGAATAAAAAAGTAAGGGGAGGGGGCAGGTGACAAAGACAGTTCAGCAAAACCAGCCAGCCTACCTGGCAATGTCTATAGCAGTCCACACTCATTGTTCCCCATCTCTGTGAAGAAGGGAGGAAGGCACACTTTGTCATCTTTCTTCCAACCTTGCTCATTATAATCAGACAATGTGAATCCAGATCTCATTAGCTAAATCCAGCATTCTTTCCTCTATACCAGACATTTGGCAGCTAGGTGGTGAAATGGATAGAGTGCTGGACCTGGAGTTAGGAAGACCTGAATTCAAATCCAGCACAGATACTAGCTGCGTGACCCTGAGCAAGTCCTTTGTCTGCCTCAGTTTCCTCATATGTTAAAAAAGGGATAATAATAAAACCTACCTCCCAAAGTTGTTGTGAAAATCAAATGAGATCATTGCAAAAACAATTTGCAAAATGCAAAGCATCATTTAAATGCTAGCTTTTATCATTTGTAACCATAGGCTCCAAGGGCCAATTATATAGAACTCTCTTCTTGTTGGTGGAGATTGATTATTCAATGACCCATACTGGCGGATTTTGTGAAAGCAGGAGATATGAGACTCATGCTCTTCTGGCTTCCAGCTTTGAGGGAGAAGATGTTCAATTCTAACCTTTCTACAGTTGCTAAAAGGAGTGAAACACTCTAAGAAGAAACCAACATGTAACATGAACTAATGCTGAGTGAAGTGAGCAGAACCAGGCGAACATTGCACACAGTAACAGCAACATTGTGCAGTGATCCACTATGATAGACTTAGCTCTTCTCAGCCATGCAATGATTCAAGACAATTCCAAAAGACTCGTAATGGAAAATGCTATCCACATCCAGAGAAAGAACTATGGAGTCCGAATGCAGATCAAAGCATACTATTAGCTCTCTTTGTTTTTTTTTTCTTTCTTTCTCATGGTTTTCCCCTTTTGTTCTGATTCTTCTTTTACAACATGACTATGTGGAAATATGTTTAACATGATTATACATGTATAACTAATGCCAAATCGCTTGCTGTCTTGGGAAGGGGGAGGAGAGGGAGGGAGCAAGAAAAATTTGGAACTCAAAATCTTAGAAAAATGAATGTTGAAAATTATCTTTACATGTGATTGGAAAAAAATTAAATACTATTAAGTGCAAAAAAGAAAAGAAACCAACATGTAGAACTTTGATCTTGTCCTTATTCCCGGCTTGCTACACTAGAAATTTCAGGGAGAATTTTCCCCTTGGGTGAGATCTGGAATTCTCTTTCTCTTGGCTGAGTTGTTCTCCCGAAGGGGAAACATTCATTCTGTACTGTCTGATACATGTTCTCCTATGTACATTCACTCTGATTTCTATTTTGATATCTACTTGGATAAATGGGTTTCTTCATGATTTGCTATGTATCTTCCTTGTGGAACTGGCACCTGGTGGGAAGAGGGGTGGGTTAAGCTTTGGATGTAGAGTTTGGGGCATTCCTTTTCCCATTAAAAAAAAAATAGCAACCAGGAACTGTAGTTTGAACTTAAAAGTTACATTCCCAGACTAATGATATTTAAAGGAGCAGTTAGATTTAATTCTAGCCTGGTATCTCCTTTCTCTGAGAAGAACAGAGTGGCCAAATTCTGGAACCAACCTCCTTCTTCCCCTCCTGACAGGAATCAGTGACTCTTTTGGAGAGGAGTTGGGGGAGGAGACATAGAGTTGTTTATTCTTGCCTCTCTCTGAGCCATACGTAGACAGACCCTCGGCACATCACCAACATGGGCAGAAACAAGCAGCATTCCTCTCTACTCCCACCCCCACAGTCCTCTTACATGTTATCTGGCAAATCTTGGTAGAGTTTGAGAGTGTGGAGTCTTGACTCAATTTCCAAGGCATTTGAGGCAGTTGATGAAAGTAAATGTTGAATTTAGAGCTGGAAAGAAACTTGGAGATCATTTGGACCAGGGGTTCATGACCTTTTTTGTATCCTGGATCCCTTTGGCTATGTCTGGTCATGTTTTTAAATGTATAAAACAAAACAGATGGAATTACACAGGAAATCTATCATATTGAAATATGGTTCTAAGAATTTTTTTTAATTTATATATATTTTTGTAAAAGTTCACAAAACCCAGGCTACGAATCCCTGATATAAATTAATCCCCCTGACCCTGATTTTACTAATTCAGAAGTGCAGCCTAGACATAAAGCATTTTGTGCCAGGTAGCTAGCATGTCAGGGAGGAAGGGACCAAGTATTTATCAGATGCCTACTATGTGCTAGGCACTGTGCTAAGTACTTCACTAATATTATTTTATTTGTTTTAAAGTTTATAATTTATTTACTTTGGCTTTCAATTTTACAATACAATTCATTTACATTCTTTATTTTTTTTTCATTTACATTATTTCATTGGCTCTTCACAGCAACCCTACAAGAGGAAGAGTGGCCACGAAGAAAGAGAGTAGACCTCCAAACCACAAAAATCTGGGTGCAGCTCTCACTTCTGACCCATCCTGGCTGTGTGACCCTGGACATGTCACTTAACTCTCTTAGTGCTCTAGGCAACAAACTCTATGAGACTATGAGTGACTGAACTGCTCTGATAGAAGGAGTTCCCTCTATCAACAAAATCCTAGGTCCAGTCTCCATCTCTAACAACCCTGTGAAGTTCAAACTCTTACTTATTATTATTATTATTTAATGATCTTTTGTTTTCACATTGCCTAAATTTCTCCCTATATCCATCTCCCTACTCACTCCCAGAGAGCCATTCTAATATTTTTTAAAATTATTTTTTAAAGAAAAAAAGGGAAAATAAAAAAGTCTGCAAAATCAATCAGCACATTGAAAAAGTCTGAACATATATGCAATGTTCCACATCCATGAATCTCCCACCTCTGCAAAGGTATGGGAGGAGGGGTCTTCTCATCTCTCTTCTTTGGAGTGAGGCTCATTCTTGGTAATTTTGCAACATTCACCTGTTTTGTGGTTATGTTCTTTACATTTACATTGTTGTGGTCTTTATGTCTATTGTCTTCTTGACCCTGCATCAGTTCATGGAGATCTACCCAGGCTTCTTTGAATTCATCACACACATTTCTTTTTTAATTAGTTTATTTTAGTTTTCAACATTCACTTCCACAAGATTTTGAGTTTTAAATTTTCTCCCTATCTCTCCCCTCCCCCCACCCCAAGTGGCATGCATTCTGAATACCCCTTCCCCTAATTTGTCATCCCTTATATCACCTCCCTCCCTTCTCTTATCCCTTTACCCTTCTATTTTCCTGTAGGGCTGGATAGATTTCTATACCCCATTGTCTGTATATCTTATTTTCCAGTTGCATGTAAAAACTATTTTTAACATTAGTTTTTAAAACTTTGAGTTCCAATTTCTCTCCCTTCCTTCCTCCCCACCCACCCTTATCGAGAAGGCATGCAATTCGATATAGGCCATACATGTGTAGTCATGCGAAACATTTCCGTAATAGTCATGTTGTGAAAGACTGACTATATTTCCTTCCATCCTATCCCATTCCCCATTTATTCTAATCTCTCCTTTGATCCTATCCCTCCTCAAAAGTGTTTGCTTCTGATTACCCCCTTTCCCAATCTGCCCTCCCTTCTATCATCCTCCCCTCTCTTATCCCCCTTCCCCCCTATTTTCCTGTAGGATAAGATAGATTTCCATCCCTAATTGAGTGTGTGTGTTATTCCTCCTTAAGAGTAATTCCTCCAGATTTGATAAGAATAATATTCACTCATTCCCTCTTACCTCTCCCCTCTTTCTCTCCACTGTAAAAACTTTTTCTTGCCTCTTTTACGTGAGATAATTTACCACATTCTACCTCTCCCTTTCTCCTTCTCCCAGTACAATCCTCTCTCATCCCTTAATTTTAATTTTTAGATATCATCCCTTTATATTCAACTCACCCTGTGCCCTCTGTCTCTATATATATGCTCTCCAAGTACCATAATACTGAGAAAGGTCTCATGAGTTACAAATATCATCTTTCCATGTTGGAAATTTGTTTCACTCTGTCTTTTGTGGGTTCTGCTGCTTTAGACTTTGTTTAGAATCAGCTTTTTACAGGTATCTGGAGGGGTTTGGGGGAGAGCTCAAGCAAGTCACTGCTTTTACTCCACCATCTTGGCTCTACCCCCCCCCATATACATTCTTATTAAATATATTTTCACATTAG